CAACAACATGTAACCTGACACAGAGTAAGAATGGAGATCTATACGAGATGTCAACAACATGTAACCTGACACAGAGTAAGAATGGAGATCTATATGAGATGTCAACAACATGTAACCTGACACAGAGTAAGAATGGAGATCTATATGAGATGTCAACAACATGTAACCTGACACAGAGTAAGAATGGAGATCTATATATTTATATGAGATGTCAACAACATGTAACCTGACACAGAGTAAGAATGGAGATCTATATATTTATATGAGATGTCAACAACATGTAACCTGACACAGAGTAAGAATGGAGATCTATATGAGATGTCAACAACATGTAACCTGACACAGAGTAAGAATGGAGATCTATATGAGATGTCAACAACATGTAAGTGACACAGGTTGTTTTTCAGTGTGGATATAATGTACAAATGTTGTCTAATCATTGAATGAAATATTCCCTCCACAACCTTTTTTGTTTCCTTCTACAAAATTACATGTAGTCTTGCAGCATCACAATTTAAATAAACACAATATTCAAAACTAACATTAATTTTTTTTGCTGATTGTACTAATTACAAGTGTTAAATAATACATTTTGTTTTACTAACTAATTAACAAACTGAAATATGTAATCTGATGAAGTGATTTTAACAGAAAAATGAAGAAAATATCACTATTTCATTCGTCCTTAAAATTGCTGTATAACATTTCTATAAATAGACAGGTGATTGTCTGTATATATCTGGTCGATGAATCACATGTGATAGCCCAAAGGTCGCCAAATGTAAACATTTCATCTCTCTATACAAATATACTGTAGTATACTTTTTCGCTGTCTAACCCCACCTATGTACTAACAACTTATTTACAAGTCCACTTGTATCATTTGATTTACCTTGTGACCTTGTGTAAGTAAGTACATACATCAACGAAATATGTGTCATATAAAGCTTAGATTTAATAGTTTTGTTAGCTTGATCAAACACGTAGATGTGACTGTGGCCATCTCATACAATTTCAACAAAAAAAAAGAAATTCTAACTTTGAAATAAAAAAAAAAATTGACTACGAGATGAAATATAATCTTAACATTTATTTAAGCCCCGAGAAAGATTTGTTAAATAATAGTTAAGTCTTGTCATCTAGTGAAAAGTATTTGATATAAATGACAGCCCAGAGAGATGACAACCAGCAGCGCGTAAAACATAAATAAACGTTTTGAATATACTTACTACAGATAACAGGTGTAACAACTTGGTGTGATAAAATATAGTGATAAATGTATATATGTACAAAACACAGATGTTTTCTGTCAAAATTAAAAGGATGTACTCTATTTAAACAATACATATATAAACAATACAATTCCTAAAATGGATATTCATGTAAATTTTGAGCAATTTGGTAACTTAAAAACAGCCAGAGTCGATACTATAAAACAGAAACTGATTCTGAATCAAGGATGAAATACAGATTGGTCGTGCATTTAGTGACACAATAACATTTTTTCATTATTATTATTGTTATTAAGGAGAATAATTGAAATGACCAAAAGGATCGAGAGCCAGCTGCAGGTAGCCAAATTAAATCATGACTCCTGGAAATTGTCACATTGGTATATATATTCATGAGAACAGACCTAAAAACTTTATACGCCTGGAATTAATCAAATGTCTTGGTAATTTTCGTTAATGTCCCTGAAACACTGTCTGGTACAATTTCCCTGATTGGCCCATATCTAAGCTTTATACAGGCATATAACTGTATTGATTTTTCTTCCATAGCTATTTTTATCTATTGAATATTCTTGGATATCTAAGGTAGATAACAGAACAAAGTCACGTTTGAAGGATATGTTTTTATCACTCTGTTGATAACTCATGCAGAAATAATAGTTATGTAACGCTTCTTTTTATTGGATAATTTTCATGCTAGCCCAAAGATGGCGGACGTCTTTCCACTTGAGGCAGATGATTGACATTGGACAAATTTATTATTGTGACATGCTAAAATGTGTCATTGAAATGTGAAGTGGAGAGAATGATGATGTTACTCTTAGTGGCATGTTCTGATCGACTTTTGAGTTTGTCGTTTTTCTCAGAAAGTTGATACAAATGATACACTATGCCTAATCATTACGGTAGGCGAAATCGTCAATCCAGGGACCAACTTCTGCTGTAATACAACTATCACAACTAAACAAAGTTATATTACAAGGCATTATCTCCTACCTTTACTGGACAAATAATATAACACTGCCTCTCATGTTAAAACCCAAATTCATGATCTTATCTCCATTATATGCATGTAGACAAGCATACTGTCCCCTAAACATTACTCATAAACATTAGAAGAATTCTGATAAAGTGAAAACATACAATTAGACTTAAAAGGTCTTTCACTGTAAGTTGATTTGGGTCAAACCAAATCATATAGGATGAGTCAAAATGCTCTTTGGTCTCAAGGACTTTTTCAAATTCTATGACTTATGAACTCTGGGTGTGGGCTGTACCACAAATAGTTTTCACGTAAACTCTGGTCAATGGTCGTGAAGATCTCTCAAAGGCTCAGGATGAAATATTGAAGAGTGAATCATGATATGGCTTATTGAAAAATTACCAAATATAAATAGGAGTAAATTTTACATTTGTCACTATGACTTATAGTTAAGTAGAAGATAAAATAACAAATAAATACAGCTTTTCAAGAACTTTAACAATAAGACTGCAATTTACAAAGATAATGAAATAAACATATATGTAATTACATTCAAACAAACACTGTATATTGAAATACTTACGGGACATAATTCAAAACTCCAAAATCCACACTAAAATTTTTTCATGACAGGATAGCAATCTGTTGCTTCACAGCATTCACTGACATATGATTACGAGGTCAGATGATCATGAACACATCCACAAACCGATGTCAAACAGTATCAATATTAACAATCATACATTTCCACAGTATTAACCAATGGTCACAAACATAAAAACAATGACATGCCGATAATATCTGCATAGATACCAAGAATCACTCACTGAAACTGCACTGATTTTCAGACAAATATCTGTCAAAAACAAAATTTAAATCTAATTTACATTAGATATAAAATTTTGTCATAAATATCCCAACCCAGCCGACACTTTCACAGATGTTAGTTGTTTGTTACACCATGACACGCCTTTTTTCATTGAATACAAGCCACGATAAAGGGATATATATACTGGTAAACAGTCTAGATAACACATTGGCCATTACAAACACGTACCACTAACTTATACCCAAAGCCTGCCTAACAACTGCCTAACTGATAACAGGAATTTGAGGGCTTTAACCCTCGATACTGGTTAAGCCTTCCAAATCCTGTCTTCAATATTATATAGATTTTGCAATATTATTACATCGGATGGTTTTGTTTACATTATGACAGATTAATGTTTAAAATTGGGCCTTTTTCTTATGCATGGTAAACACAGGTTGTTTGCATTGTCGCAAGTAATTCGGAAACTTCTTCGAAAATATTTTGCCTGAAGCTAATGAACTGACAATGACATTGTTTTATCGATGACAATGAGTATGGAATATAAATGTATGTCGCTGCATATTAATCTAGAATTAATTACTCAATTAGCATGTAAAATTAATTATTATGGCTTTTATTATTAAATTGAAACGTTTTAACGAGTAACATGTCACATACCGTAAATATTCGCGTATAGTGCGCACTTTTTTAAGCTGAAACTGTCGTGTCAAAAAGGGGGTGCACACTATACGCAGGTACATGCCATTCCTGGGGTTATCATTCCCGAGTTCTGCATCCGCCATATTGGATTACCTCCCTTCACATAGTTATATGTAAAAGTCGTCGGTCTTATATGATAGTTTGGAGATAAAAACAACAAAAAAATAAAATAAAATAAATTTCGAATGTTTTAATCATCTGCCATTCACGCTAGCATTACGGTGAATCTATTTTTTTTTCGTTTCCCGTCGGTCTTACTATTGGTCGGGGCTATAGTAGTGTCTGAATTTCTGCCTCATTTTGATGATGTATCCGTGGAATTCAATGAATCCGGAAGTTTTTAGGCGATTGTCGTTCTGTTCATAAATCGGACAGCCCATCCCACCGATGCCAAAAGTTGGTGACCCCATGACCTCTCTTGATCTGCATGGTCCGTGCCTTGATATTTCACTCTGGAATGTCGAAGTGGCGACCGGCGGCACGAAACTCCAGTCTCTCGGCGTAGTCAAATGGCGTTCGCAGTTTCCCCATGTCGGTGTAAACAATCTATCATTAAATACCTTCGGATACCACAGGTACCATGAAAGATCATGGCTATACTGAACAAACCACCTGCTTTTATGGGGACAAGGTAGGATTGAAAATGTTCAGACAGTTAAAACAACATCGTTTTCTGACCAATAGTACACGTTCAGCCCAAGCCGGGTGTCATCAGTCTCCTCATACTCAACGTGTTAACTGTCAGTAACTGTTAATTATACAATCAGCCAAGCCTTTCATGCTTGTTAGATCACCTGGGTAAATTTGTTTACTTAAGGTAATTATATGTGTTAGGGTCACGCTCATTGTAGTTTCCTAATTATCAATGGATCAGACCACATCAAATGTTTTGTCGCAGTGACCAGTCAATTAATTTTTCTGTAGATTTTTTTTTTTAAATCTGATCTCCAAAAAGTACCTGCGCACTATACGCGAATATTTACGGTATTTGAATTTCAATCAATCTGCAAAAATAACCCTATCAAATCTGAACAAATCATGGTGGAACTTCAAATACATGACATGAATATTTGCTGAAAACTGAAGCAAGGGCCAATTATACATAACATCATTGTATGTAAACAAAGCATAGCTCTGCACCACCCTTCATATTTCATATGGGCGTTGAATAGCACTAAATCAAAACCTGCCTTTAAAATTTACCTGTATTCGTATACACTGAAGCATTTACCTGTGCATTCCATTGAAAACTTACCTGATGATGGTGTATTCATCGGGTATTCTACATTCACCTGTGAAACATGTGCAGAAGGCTGGTCTGAAAATGAAAGAAAAAAATTGTCCATTATTGAATTTGTTTTCTTTCAACATAATTATGAATTCAGCAAATTATGACCCAACAATTGAATTCACATTTCAAGTTATATTTGTCTCAGAGTCGGTTAATTCAATGATCTTGTCATGTTTCCTGTTATTACAACATAAGCACTATACAGATATCTACTTTTATATAATCTGGTGTCTAGATATTGTATTACATTGTATTAGGTATTGTATTACATTGTATGTTATTGTATTAGGTATTGTATTACATTGTATTAGGTATTGTATTATATTACATTGTATTAGGTATTGTATTACATTTAATAGGTATTGTATTACATTGTATGTTATTGTATTACATTGTATTAGGTATTGTATTATATTGTATGTTATTGTATTACATTTTATTAGGTATTGTATTACATTGTATTGGGTATTGTATTACATTGTATGTTATTGTATTACATTGTATTAGGTATTGTATTGTATTACATTGTATTAGGTATTGTATTACATTGTATTAGGTATTGTATACACCAGCTCTGTTAATCAAGGAATTTTATAGTTCAAAACCAGTATGACTGATTTGTTCTTTTCTAATTGTTTTTTCTTGTCTTTGTCCATACTCTTTTTTCATCTTGAAATTTTTTTTAAAAAACTATGTATGTATATCTAAAAGTGTACCCTGAGAGTAATTTTATATTTAGATATAATGTTAAGAATGCCGTAAAAATAATAATAATGAAAACCCCGTCAAAATCCGTCACCCCAGTGTCGAGTTATTAAAGCTTAAAGTTGTCGATTTTCACCTGTCCACCCAGACCTAATCAGCCGAATCGTCATTTCCGCAGAATCGAGGCTCTTCTACTCGTGACGTCATAAGTTCAACAGAAATGGCAGTCAACATGACTGACAGTGACGACACCGCAACTGAGAGCGATTTGAGCATAAGTTTTGAGGAGTCTGATTATGGTGTGAATGATATGTCTGAAGACGGAATCCAGCCCTACCGATTTGAACTGGAATTACAAGACGATGTATCCAGTGAGGAGGAAAATGACCCTTCGAAAAGTGACGATCGCTTGGGCAACATAGATTGGCACGTACTTCACTGGGTCTCACCAGTAGTCGTGAAAGTAGTCGAACAGTGAATCGTCGTTTCAAAGAAACCAAATAAAATTGGGTGTGGTTTTGGACTAATTTTACTATCTTCAAGTCTCGATCAACAATTTCTGACGTCGGGAAATCGCGTTTGTGCAAGACTATGCATACATTCACGAGGTGTCGGGAATTTTCTTACCGAAGAAGTTTCGTCCGAGGGGAATTTTTCTTTCCAGGGAATTTTCGTAGCACTATGGATATATATAGATAGGGTGTCAACAACCAATTATAACACCCTCCACTGTGTTAATAATAAAAATTTGATGTTTTAGAAGTTTAAACAATTATTTGACTGGTTTTTACCCTAGCACTGGTACGCGTCTGTTGTTAGCCGACAGGAGTGTCGCCTCACAGGTGTCACAATTGTTTTTTCCAGCCACAGAGGTGCTAATTACCTAACCTGGCACAGGTGTGATTATGAGTTTAGATGACATCTCTACACTGTGAACTGTGTTTTCAAATCAAGATTGGTGATCTTATTGTTATTTAATTAATAACTAAACAACATCGTCTGCTGGAAGATCTAAAAACCAAATACACCTTATACAAACAACATACACACATAACCAATTCTATAAATTCTAATAATTCTATTCTATACTATATAATAGTAGTATGAAAATTCTCGGTGTGTAAATTCCCGTGACCCATTCACGACTAGGCCTACTTTCACGTAAATAAACAAAGAAATTACCACGGAAAATCCCAAAATAGATCACAATCACATGTAGCACAGTAAAGACAATATGGCTGCATCAACAAAAGCGTTGAACTTATGACATCACAGGTTTGGGTGCCCGAAAACGAGGTCAACGCCTCTCAGCCAAAGGTGTGTTTTTCAGAGAAGTCGCAATTTCTCAGTAACGGAACATTCCACGGCATTCGCGTTTTCGGCAGAGTGTATTTTATGTGCAGAACTATTTTTCAAGGTCAACATAGCTGACCTCTCAGGGTACACTTTAATAATAGTATAATTTAATAATATATATAATAAGTTTACATCTAGCAGTAATATGTGCATATCATTACTGAAACCAAACTTTGTGGGTCAAACTTTGTTTTGTTTATCTTTAAGGAGATTTTTCTTAAAAATCTGATACAGAAAAAGAAGTACCATGATGACTTAAATTCCAAGCCCTAAAACAACATATCATCTGATAGTGTATTTATAGGGACTTGTGGCATGCAGAGATGTAAATATATATATATGTGAGTGTAGTAGATGTAAGGTATATAGGCCAAGGACCATGAAGTAGATCCTGTTAAAATAGTACCTAGATTATCAAAGATTTCCATGTGTTTATGTAGTGATGACCTCTCCACCCACAGAACAGGGGATTAAGATACAGCAGCTGGCATTAAGAAGCCTGGTGTCTGGTTAGGTTATTAAAGGAAAAGCACGAAAGTAGAATTCTAGGATCTTTTTTTAATATATAACTATTTCTTAAATTCACTTTTTAAAATCAAAATTACAAAAGATCTGAGACATGAGTGCCTCTATGTTCATAAAGCATTCAGTCTAGACAAGCTGAGTCACTTGAGCCAGTATAGTGAAACCTGTTCATATGTAAATTAATACCATTGTTTCACATACCGGTAAATAGTATTGGCAACATTGACCTTGGCACTCCAAATCCTGTTTATTCTAATACAACGTATATTAATGTTAATACATGCATGTACTTGATATTTGTACTTTTATGGAAATCAGTCAGCCCCCCCAAAAAAATGGAGTCAGTTTATATAACATGACATTGTTGTCGTGGTGAATGATACACATAAAGAACATAAAAAAAAATTGGAATTTTCTTATTTGGTTGTAACGATTGAAATCAAACACATGGTACATAGTATTCCTTGTATATAACTATAATTCTTACTGAAATTTAATCCTGAAATCAATTTTAATTCTCCCGAGTACATTTCTGCAAATAAGTTGAAAATAATGAGAATCCTGTCAACAGAATCAGAACTTGTCCTGTGACCAGGGTCCAGGATGGCAAGACCAGGGCATTCAGCTAATAATAATTGCCAGAGGGCAATGTAGATATATAATCCACAGATTGATGTAGACAATAAACAGTGTATATCATTGCCAGCCTCTGTATAAACAGATTAATGCTTTATCCTACTACTGACACCTAAACATATACCTCTGGGAGATGGCTGTAGGCATCTGTGGAACTTTTCACACTACCTAAATCATGTCTATATATACCAAGTATTGATAACTTACGATAACCTAAAACAAATCTGAACCTTAACAATAGTGATCATATAGAGTTGAAACTTGTTGTCTCAAAATCACTCGAGTCTAAATTCCATCTGAGTTGAAATAATTTTCAAGTTCCAATTTTTTCCCTTCTATATCTTTGTAATTTCTGTTGAGTTGAAGCCATTTTTCAGTCCCTTCAATTGTAAAGCAAGGGAAAAGTCATGCATTGTATTGACAGTGCAAGACATACAAACTGAATCAGTCAGTATTCCAGAAAGCTTCAACAGGATCTGGTTATGTTATCCATATCTTAAGATCTAGATATTTTTTTTAACCACAATCTTAATACTAATATTGGATTTGAATTTTATTATATTTTCATTGTTCATACAATCTTAACAGGTAAACCAAACAATTATTACTAACTGTTATTATTCGAAATCATAAAACCTGCTTAGATAGTAGCAAAGATTACATAGTCTCCTCAAGTATTTTTAGCCTTTTTTTCAACCTCATTTATCAAACCAATAAAAAAACATTTCAATAGTGCAGATTATTTCATGTTATTAATTAGCATTTAAAGAATTGTTTTTGTTATATAAAATGGTCTGCTAGAAAGCAAAATATATCCCAAATGATGTGAAATCAATGGTAGCAGAATTTCCTGTAACCCCTTCCAGGTTACATCACCATTTTTCCTTTTCTCAGTACGACAATCTTGTCCCACTCTATAGTCCAGACCTGGTGATCATCTAGCGATAATAACACATTAATGTCAGATTACCTTTGTTTTGACCACATAACATCAATAACACAAATCAGCTGATAACATGGACAGAACACAACAAATGTGTATCTAGTGTTAAATGAATACTTAAGTACACACTATCTTCACAGCTTTATTAAAGGCTCTGTGATGCCAAGATATTTTGTTTTTATTTCTTTTAAGGAAGGAGATGCGATTGTATTTATTCATGAAGAATTTAACATGGTTTTAAGTTAAAGGTTCTATAACTGGTTTTTAGAACCAAACTATTATTTAATCTAGGTAACCATGGTAATTCAGGACGAATTCCCTATATATAGACACAATACATGTGTTGAGAGCTTGAGCTAGATGGAGGCTGTGATTTAATTCGCTGACATTAGTATGGAACAATACTTGCTGATGTTAAATTGCCATTACAGTCTTGAAGAACCAGCTGGACTGCCAAGCTACCTTGTCACTGTTACACTATAAAAATGGTGAGCATAAGCCATCGATTAGTAACTTCCATTTTTACAGTCTGCATATTTCGGCCACAAGACAGCTAGAACCCAAAGCTTCCCTAACAGGGGTGAACACTCAACTAAAGGCCATAAGGCAGTGACATATCAATAAAGACATTAGGTAAAAAGTTTACATTTCAAAGGGCCGGTTTCCAAAACGGCCCCTTCTCTGATTCAAATTTCCTGTTGGTGGTGCATTGCCCATGCTGTTGTGGTCACAAATCTATAAAGTATAAAGATTTAGGTCACTTGGTTTGTTTTTTATGGCTCCTCAAAGTTGTACCTTTCAGAAGCTGTCTAAGTGTTGATAAAATGTGCATGTTATGTAAAATATTAATGAAAATCTAATC